GCTTTTATTCCCTGACAGTGGACCATGTTGTCTTCCTAATTGCAATCTCAATATGGTCCTTGTCTGGAGCCATCTGCAATCTGTATCAATGAAACAGCACCCTTGTGATGGGTGCTCTCCAATGCATTTGTGGAAATATTTGAGCAAAAAGCTTGCAAAATGTGAGAGTTATAACTAAATGGCTTTGTGTGGTTATATTGCTTCAGCTGCCTAGGTTTCGGCAGACTTTCTGGACAGACATTGGGAGCTAAAGGAATGTCCACTTGCCATCCAATAGCCCATAGAATCTTTGTAGAAGGAAGTGGCTATGACTTTTCTGCTTTTGTAAACCTGGGCCTTGCACTCAGTATGTAGGTGTTATAGGTAAGGTCAGGATCCATGAAAAGTTATTTCAATATTTGTAGGCAAGAGGGCAAATTGTGTGTTGGTATTTGTAGGCAAGAGGGCAAATTGTGTGTTGGTTTTGTGAATTCACCAGGAATTCACTAAGCGACTGACTCATGAATCTGAAATCTCACATTCAGGAATAGGCAGACCTGTCTTCATTTGGATCAAAGAGAGCCTCAGGCACGAGCTTTCTCTTGTATTGCATATTCCTTGTGGGCCAAAACTGGTCAACTAACACTCCTTGAGTCCCACTTCATATCAGGTTATGTGTTATGTGCTTTCAAGCCTTCAGAAGTCTTGCACATACTGAATTTCCTCTCCATAATACCTTCCTTTCCCTTCTACCCTGTAAATACTGTTCATCTGCAAAACACATCCACTTCTTTGTCCTGAAGCCCTTCCCACCCCTCCCTTACTTATGCACTACTGGTTTCTACATTAATCTTGAAGGACAGCTGTGTTTCTGCAGGGGATCCCTCTCTAGATCCGGACTGGGCTCCTTGAACAGAGAGCCTGTTTTGCTTCCTAGATGCTCAGCTTCTTGCTCTGTGCTCTGAACAGGCAGTTTCACACTCAATGAAGTCATATGATTTTGCCTGTGAAGATTGTTCGCTTGCTTTCCCAGCCTCAGTTTGAAAGCATAGATGGCAAGGTCCATGGAGAAAAACCTCTCTTACCTTCAGGTCCCATCAAGAGTTTGGGTAGATGTAGACTTAGAAATGAATATCGCCTTGCCAAGATGTATATCTATATTTTCATTTTCTAACTGTGAATGTACTCACAAAATTTCGGGTCAGACATATGTAAGGATACCCCTCATGGTACTGCTTAGATTAGCTAGTACCTGGAGACGATCATTCCTTCCAGAGGTCTGGGTGTGTAGCCTCCAGAATGTGCATCTACACTGTGATCTCTAGCCAAGCACAATTCACCAGGGTTGCATATATCTTTATGTAAATATATGAAAAATTATTCTTGCAGTTAAGCATAGTACTGAAGTGTATGTAAAATTATTCCTTTTACGAGCATCGAAAAGCATAGATGGTAGTTGGATACATATTTTCAGGCTGGAATATTCATGATCGCAAAATTGCATACTTCTCAGTCTGCAGTTTCTTTTAAAGGTTTTAATTCATTTAATCCTCACAATACCTCTAATGATTAGTTCTCCTTTACAGAAGAGGGAAAAGGAGGCTAAGAAAGGCTGACTGGATCAGATTCACACAGCTGGAAAGCGGTGGAGCTGGGATTTAGTGTCATGTGAGAAATTGTTAAATATGTAAATGAGGGGGGGCCTCCTCTTAGATGCCATGGATCCAAACTTCTGAGGATGGGGCCCCCGCAATCTTCCAGGTGGCCACTTTGAGAAGACTGCTCTCAGGCTCTATTACAGAACCCTATTAGCAGTTGAGAGACTGAGCTTGGGGAGGGAGGAGGAAGACACTCCCTTTAACTCTGTTACTTATTGAACTCGGAATGGTTAGACCCACCTCTGCTGTATCACTTTCAGTTTGACTGGTTCTAAAGGTCAACAGAAATCACTAGGTTGGGGGGTCATGGACCATTTTTATGGGTTGAGGGTAGCATCCATCACCGCCTGCCCAGACCTGGTGGCTTTTCAGCCCTGAGCCCCGGTGTGATCATTGGCATAATTTCCCCTTGATGATGTGGAGGTTAACGAGGTGCAGGGAGCTTTAGGCCATCCACCTTCATTTGCGACTCAGGACAGAAACGGGGAGCGCACAGGGACTCCGGGAGGAGTGGGAAAATCCACAGGAAACAAGAATGTGAAGTCCTAGGTGCGAGGCTGAGAGCAGAGGCGGGAGAAGACTGCTCACGGCTGGCCACCGATGGCCTCTCCAGAGTCAGAAGGAAGCCCCCTACTCTCTAGCCTTGAGAGGGGTCATGGTATGTCCCAGCATATGCTGACTCTATATCATGGCTGCTCTTCCTGGAGATCAAAACAAAACAAGACAAACGAACAAAAAGACAAACCAAAGCAAAAACAAAACCCCCAACTAAACAACAAACCCAAACATTTTTTAAAAAATACTTTATTAGTTGTTGATGGCCCTTTATTTATTTATATGTGGTACTGAGAATCGAACCCAGTGCCTCACACAGGCTAGACAAGTACTCTACCACTGAGCCACAACCCCAGCACCCCACCCCCAAATTGTTTTATTGTAAAAAAAAATCTGCATACCTGAAAGACCATCTACTTTCTCAGAAGTTCCAAATGCAAATAGAAGTAAATTAGAATATTTAAGGCTTTTATGAGATACAGCCCTACAGAAACATGCTTAGTGATGGCTGACCCAGAGTTAGATTCACTAATGTGACTCTGCAATCTTTATACTTTAACTTTTCTTTTAAAAGTTAAAAAAAGTGACTTTTTGGTCACTTCTAACAAAGCCATCATGCTCTTTTGTATTTATTGTAATGTAACCTGGAAAATTATAGGACAAACAAAAGCCATGTCTTCAGACTCAATTGTTGAAATTAGTAATGCATTCATTTATTCATGCATTCATTCAATGGACATCGACTGGTTGTGTTTGCCAGGTCCTGAGGCAGGTTTAGGGTTGGGGACACAGAAATCAAATGAACATAGTGTTCACTCTAAAAGGCCTTGTAAACAAACAGTAATTAATGATGCTCAAAAAGGGGACAATGGCAAAGGCAAGTCTTTGGTATTCTGACAACAGCAGGGTGAATGTTTCCACCAGCCAAAGAGAGATCTGGAACCTCAGGAGGGTGGGGCAGCCACCAGAGACTAGTGGCCAGGTTGGGCCTTGGACCTAGATGAGCAATCCTGGTGGTCACTCATCAGCTCTGCAACCTAGCACACTGTCTCTCTGGTTTCTTTATCTATAAATGGAGGCAATCATAACTCCAAGCTTGCAGGATTAGTGCGTAACCCACAAGACATGATGCTCCTAATGTAGAGGAAAAGGTGAAGTCAGACGCTGAAGGAATAAGAACTGACAGGTTGCAGGTGACTGACGGGTCAAAGGGGGGATGGGGCAGGAGGAAAGCGGAGGAGGCCACCAGGAGCCACTGAGTGACAGCTCGTCAGAAATAGGTTTCCTTGCCCTTTTTCTTTTGGGGGGTGGGTGGGTATGAATATGATTAAGTTTCCAGTGAGCCGTGATACAGTGGATGGATCTGTGTCTCTTAAAAAAGGTATGTTCACGCTGTGACATCAGTACCTGTGCATGTGACGTTGCCTGGAAATAGGATCTTTGCAGATGTAATTAGTTAAGATGAAGTCATTAGAGTGGGCACAAAGTCCAGTGACTGATGTCCTTATAAAAAGAGGTGACACATAGGGAAGAAGGCCATGAGACGACA